CTGAAAAGTTAGTTTGTGAAAGAAAAACTCCAGGTTTAGTCATCTTTAAATCCATTCCTTCAGTGAAAAAATAAATTAATGTATCTTATAATTTTAAATATTGTATATATCCATATAATATATATATATATATATATATATATATATATATATATATATATTCTAATGTTGTCCATGTGTCCTGTTGCTGTATATCTGGGTGTTTTTAATGGTAGCGATGTGCCCAGTATTGACTGGGAGAGCAGAGCTGACACGCTTGCCTTCTCCCAACATTTGCGATGAGGATATTTAAAGCTCTGTTTTGTAGTTTAGTTCAATGTAATGTGGGATGTTTGCTGGCTTGCCAGGGTAGATGATGAAGCTGCGGTTGTTGGTGTAGATGATAAAGCTGCGGTTGTTGGTGTAGATAATGAAGCTGTGGTTGTTGGTGTAGGTGATAAAGCTGCGGTTGTTGGTGTAGATGATGAAGCTGCGGTTGTTGGTGTAGATGATAAAGCTGCGGTTGTTGGTGTAGATGATAAAGCTGCGGTTGTTGGTGTAGATGATGAAGCTGCGGTTGTTGGTGTAGATGATGAAGCTGCGGTTGTTGGTGTAGATGGTGAAGCTGCGGTTGTTGGTGTAGATGGTGAGGCTGCGGTTGTTGGTGTAGATGATGAATCTGCAGTTGTTGGTGTAGATGGTGAGGCTGCGGTTGTTGGTGTAGATGATGAAGCTGCGGTTGTTGGTGTAGATGGTGAAGCTGCGGTTGTTGGTGTAGATGATGAAGCTGCGGTTGTTGGTGTAGATGGTGAGGCTGCGGTTGTTGGTGTAGATGATGAAGCTGCGGTTGTTGGTGTAGATGGTGAAGGTGCGGTTGTTGGTGTAGATGATGAAGCTGCGGTTGTTGGTGTAGATGGTGAGGCTGCGGTTGTTGGTGTAGATGATGAAGCTGCGGTTGTTGGTGTAGATGATGAAGCTGCGGTTGTTGGTGTAGATGATGAAGCTGCGGTTGTTGGTGTAGATGGTGAGGCTGCGGTTGTTGGTGTAGATGATGAAGCTGCGGTTGTTGGTGTAGATGATGAAGCTGCGGTTGTTGGTGTAGTTGATGAAGCTGCGGTTGTTGGTGTAGATGATGAAGCTGCGGTTGTTGGTGTAGATGATGAAGCTGCGGTTGTTGGTGTAGATGATGAAGCTGCGGTTGTTGTTGTAGATGGTGAGGCTGCGGTTGTTGGTGTAGATGATGAAGCTGCGGTTGTTGGTGTAGATGATGAAGCTGCGGTTGTTGGTGTAGATGATGAAGCTGCGGTTGTTGGTGTAGATTATGAAGCTGCGGTTGTTGGTGTAGATGGTGAGGCTGCGGTTGTTGGTGTAGATGATGAAGCTGCGGTTGTTGGTGTAGATGATGAAGCTGCGGTTGTTGGTGTAGATGATGAAGCTGCGGTTGTTGGTGTAGATGATGAAGCTGCGGTTGTTGGTGTAGATGGTGAGGCTGCGGTTGTTGGTGTAGATGATGAAGCTGCGGTTGTTGGTGTAGATGATGAAGCTGCGGTTGTTGGTGTAGATGATGAAGCTGCGGTTGTTGGTGTAGATGGTGAGGCTGCGGTTGTTGGTGTAGATGATAAAGCTGCGGTTGTTGGTGTAGATGATAAAGCTGCGGTTGTTGGTGTAGATGATGAAGCTGCGGTTGTTGGTGTAGATGATGAAGCTGCGGTTGTTGGTGTAGATGATGAAGCTGCGGTTGTTGGTGTAGATGATGAAGCTGCGGGTTGTTGGTGTAGATGGTGAGGCTGCGGTTGTTGGTGTAGATGATGAAGCTGCGGTTGTTGGTGTAGATGGTGTAGCTGTGATTGTTGGTGTTGGTGTAGATGGTGAAGCTGCGGTTGTTGGTGTAGATGGTGAAGCTGCGGTTGTTGGTGTAGATGGTGAAGCTGCGGTTGTTGTTGTAGATGATGAAACTGCGGTTGTTGGTGTAGATAATGAAGCTGCGGTTGTTAGTGTAGATGGTGAAGCTGCGGTTGTTGGTGTAGATGGTGAAGCTGCGGTTGTTGGTGTAGATGGTGAAGCTGCGGTTGTTGGTGTAGATGGTGAAGCTGCGGTTGTTGGTGTAGATGAAGCTGCGGTTGTTGGTGTTGGTGTAGATGATGAAGCAGCGGATGTTGGTGTAGATGAAGCTGCGGTTGTTGGTGTAGATGATGAAGCTGCGGATGTTGGTGTAGATGGTGAAGGTGCGGTTGGTGTAGATGATGAAGCTGCGGTTGTTAGTGTAGATGGTGAAGCTGCGGTTGTTGGTGTAGATGGTGAAGCTGCGGTTGTTGGTGTAGATGGTGTAGCTGTGGTTGTTGGTGTTGGTGTAGATGATGAAGCTACGGTTGTTGGTGTAGATGGTGAAGCTGCGGTTGTTGGTGTAGATGGTGAAGCTGCGGTTGTTGTTGTAGATGATGAAACTGCGGTTGTTGGTGTAGATAATGAAGCTGCGGTTGTTAGTGTAGATGGTGAAGCTGCGGTTGTTGGTGTAGATGGTGAAGCTGCTGTTGTTGGTGTAGATGGTGTAGCTGTGGTTGTTGGTGTTGGTGTAGATGATGAAGCTGCGGTTGTTGGTGTAGATGGTGAAGCTGCGGTTGTTGGTGTAGATGGTGAAGCTGCGGTTGTTGGTGTAGATGGTGAAGCTGTGGTTGTTGGTGTAGATGATGAAGCTGCGGTTGTTGGTGTTGGTGTAGATGGCGAAGCTGTGGTTGTTGGTGTAGATGATGAAGCTGCGGTTGTTGGTGTAGATGGTGAAGCTGCGGTTGTTGGTGTAGATGATGAAGCTGCGGTTGTTGGTGTAGATGATGAAGCTGCGGTTGTTGGTGTGAGTTGTGCTTATTGATGGTTCGTTTATGCCGAAGAGTCTTAGGGCGTGTATGAGTGTATCATTGTTGAGTATTTTAGGGACCCATATAATAGTACCGTTGATCGCATTCGATCGTTATTAAAGTATGAAATATCGGCGTTGTTATATACTTAACCTAGGCATTATGTAAAATGCCTAGGATTAATAAGAAATAGAATGCCTTGAACTGCTCAGTCTTAAATAACTAAATAAAATTTAATTTTTTACTTTAAAGTTGTATTTTAAATGTTTATTGCCATTCTTTTAATGCTCATACAAAATACTTCAATTTGTTTATCCTTGTGATGATTTTTTTTTTTTTTTTTTTTTTTTTTTTTTTTTTGTGATAAGTTAGAGCAGGGGTCTCTAGAGATGGTTTAATAATCAATAGACGAATAACTATCAAAAATTATACAATTAAGCATGAAATTAAGCTAACGTTTTCGTGTTTAAATTAGATCAAAAGTATAAATTAAAAGCTAATTGAATTTGCAGAATACTTATAATTTTTAAGTAAAATTATATGTTCTTTTCTAATGTAATAATAAATAATTACTATTTTTTTATTTGTATTACAATCGAATTTCTTTAAATCGGCACCACTTTTTAAAACATAAATATATTATGTTGCCTCCCTTGGAAAAAAAAAGGAATTTAAAAATATTATTTAAAATGTAATGTACCAAAAAAAAATTCATTAAAAAATTCATAAAACAAACGTTTTAATAACAAGCTTTTATGTAACAATGCACTAAAAAGTAGAAAATAATTTATAGACTACTATTTAAATAACTATAAAGAAAAGCGTGGGTCACTTTAGTATCTATTGGATACCTTTACTAATGTTAAGGAAGACACCCACGCTTTTCTTTATAGTTATTTAAATAGTAGTCTATAATTTATTTTCTACTTTTTAGTGCATCTATATATATAAAGCAAAGTGGTCAAGTGCCCGATAGGGCACTTCCCGGCGCCGCAGGCGCGTCAAATTTGGCACGATGGTGCCTTCGGGCAATAGAACACGAAGGCCGGTGACGGTTGGCCGAAAAGTCTACGGAGAAGGGGTCAAAACTGACCTCGACTGACCGGCGCCTAATATGGGCTATATTACGAAAAAAAATTTCCTCCGACGACCCCCCTTGAAATTTTGTGAGGTGGTAGGAGAACACCTTGGGGTGTCACAAAAAACTCGCCATGTCCGGGAAAAATCGGGAAATGGGTCAAAACTGACCAGTCGTATTTCCCTATATAATCTTTGTATTTTATGGGAAAAACAGAGGGTCATTTCAAAACGGATTTTAGGGCACTTACCCTGTTTACATCTGGCTAATTTTTGGCATGTTTATAGGTAAATGGCTTGACCGTAGGGCAGACCTGTCGGTCTTACTCAAAGCCCTCGACGAGGGCTAAAAAGTGACCGCGAGTGAAATTCTCTTTATATGAGCTCTATTACGAAAAAAAATTTCCTCCGACGACCCCCCTTGATATTTTGTGAGGTGGTAGGAGAACGCCTTGGGGTGTCACAAAAAACTCGCCATGTCCGGGAAAAATCGGGAAATGGGTCAAAACTGACCAGTCGTATTTCCCTATATAATCTTTGTATTTTATGGGAAAAACGGAGGGTCATTTCAAAACGGATTTTAGGGCACTTACCCTCTTTACATCTGGCTAATTTTTGGCATGTTTATAGGAAAATGGCCTGACCGTAGGGCAGACCTGTCGGTCTTACTCAAAACCCTCGACGAGGGCTAAAAAGTGACCGCGAGTGAAATTCTCTTTATATGAGCTCTATTACGAAAAAAAATTTCCTCCGACGACCCCCCTTGATATTTTGTGAGGTGGTAGAAGAACACCTAGGGGTGTCACAAAAAACTCGGCATATCTGGGAAAACTTCGTAAAGCGGTCAAAACTGACCAGTTGTATTTCCCTATATAATCTTTGTATTTTATGGGAAAAACAGAGGGTCATTTCAACGCAGACTTTAGGGTACTTAAGCTCAGTATATCTGGCTAATTTTTTGCATGTTCCTAGGACAATGGCTTGACCTTTAGGGAAAACTGTCGGTTACACTCAAAGCCCTCGACGAGGGCTAAAAAGTGACCGCGAGTGAAATTCTCTTTAAATGAGCTTTATTACGAAAAAAAATTTCCT